TTTATCAATGTCCTCGACGGGTCTGCCAATGGCATGAAGTTGGTCACAAATTTTTTTGAAGGCACGGGCATACTCAGCAACAGGTTTTGTGCCACGTTTCATCAACTGCAAGTCATCCTTGAGTCTCAGTTCACGAGCTTTTGACTGATGGCTGTACGTAGTTTCCAACGCAAGCCAAACATCACGTGCAGTAGAGAGACCAACGACAACAGCCATGGCTTCCTCAGTGAGAGAGGAGAGCAGGAGACAGAGAAGTCGTTGATCGGCTGCTCTCCATGCCAAATATTTGGGGTTGAATGTTGAGGAGGTTTCTGGTTCAAAGCGAGGTGGTGGAACCATAGTTCCATCGACATAGCCCAGCATGTCTTGACTCTCAAGAAGAGGGAGAAGTTGGCTTTTCCAAAGAAGATAATTGGAGGAAGAAAGTTTGATGGTGATCATATGGATTAGAGTATTGAAAGGAAGAAGATGATAACAAGATTCGGAAGCCATAGAGAAGAAAGGATTAGGGTTGTTAAACCGAAAGGGCTCTGATACCATGTAAATGTTTGATTAATCCACCACACCCAAATGGTGGTGAGAGTTCTCTTATTTATAATCATTTACAGAATACAGAAATAAGGTAAATTACAAATAATAAGGAAATAGCGATAAAAGGAAAGAATAATAAATGAATACAATATATTTGCATTTAGTAAAAGAGAAAATATGGTAACCCGTAATGTAAGGCAAATATCTAGATATTTGCCTTAATGAACGGTCAACTATCCTTAACACGTAGATTTGAGGCACCAGGCCGTACACGAAAATCTCAGATGCTGAAGCTATATCCTTGGATTCGCCCAGAAAGAGCAAGATTGGCTTGCAGAATATGTAAGGGATGGTTAAGACTACGCCTGTTAGAGTTAGTAATATGGCTGATCTCTGTAAATATATGCCTAGCATGTCGTATTTCTCGGCGCCGTATGCTTGCCCGCATAGCGTCTCCACTGCGCTTCCCATTCCCAACTGTTTGGTTAAAACATACGATTAATGTTAAACTAGACAATTTAAACTATAAGACGAGTATTTTTAGAATAGCGGAGTAGTCTCTCCTTGACTAATTAAGATGAAGATCTTAAATTTATCAGTAAGGAACACTGTCTCTATTGATACGAGACTTTTTGAAGAAACCAAAAGAAAAATCAGAAGAGTTTATGCTAAGAGTCGATAATATCATACTATTGTGGAGGTTCATGATTCTTAATATGGTGTCAGAGTTATATAGTTCTTAACTTAGTTATGTAGTCAAATGTGACTCAGGGTCGACAAATGGTGTATTTTGTTCGAGGGCTCCAGAGGAGTCGAGCCTCAATTAAGGAGAGATTATTCAAGAGCTGGAGGACTCCAGAAGATCATGGGTCATGAGAATTTATACTCAAAGTAGACAATATCGTTGAGTCTCAATTAAGGGGAGGTTATTCGAGAGCTCTAGAAAAAGAGGTCTCCCGAAGACCATAGGCCATGGGAGCTTATGCGGAAAGTGGACAATATCATATCATTTGTGGAGGTTCGTGATTGAAGTAAAAAGATATTTTTTTTTATTACGTAAACAGGGCCGGCTTGTCTCCGTCCCCACCTAATTCTCCGTCCCACCCTACTCGAAATATATATATATATATATATATACATATATATATATACATATATATATATATACATACATATATATATATATATATATGTATATATATATATATATATATATACATATATATATATCAAAAGTAAGGATTTGTGTTCATAAGATGGGGTTAGCAATGTAAATTACCATGAGACCGTAGGCGAAGACTTGAATTCCATTATTGCCAAGAGAGGAAGCGGCAAGCTCAAGGTTGCCAAGGTGGCCGGAAAAGATCTGCGTGGACGTCGACATGGCGTAGTTAATCATGTACACAAAAACCGCCGGCGCTGCCAAGTAAAACAGAAGCTTAATCTCGATCCACGTGGCATGACTATAACGCTGGACCACCGGCATCTCTGTGTCCGACAGAATCCTCTCCAGTTCGTCGCTGCCTTCGTGCTTGTTCGAACACAACGACTGAGACGACAACAACGCCGCCGCCGCCGGCTGCAGCAGCGCCTGTCGGACATCATCTTCATAAGCAGATACCATCTTTTGTCCCAAAGAGAAAGGGATTCTTTTTGGCTTTTCGTTCCTCTGTTGAGCACCAATTTATAGCTGCGGACTGTTTATTAAACTATCACACTTCATCAAATTTCATTAAATACAACTATTCATAAAAATTAAAAATTAATGGTAACCGATTCACTGTTAGCTAGCAGTTCCTTGTTAGAGAGAGGTTTCTGCACGATTCTAAGTTTGAGCATAAGTTCTCATGATTTTGCTTTGACTTTCTCGAAAGGCCTCATACCAATGATCATGTGTTTATAATCAAAGAATACTATCTACAGATGGGAAGCCCAAACCAAAATCATGAGAGTTACGGTGAAAGTAGACAATATCATACCATTGTCATTTTTCTTGATATCTTTGATTAATTTAGTACTTATTCTTATGAACTAATGAAATACCTATGGTTTGAGACATAATAAACTGTCCATCATTTTCTACAGACAGACGAACTGAGAGTTTTGTTCATCTAACAGTTTTCACACCTTTACAAAGAGTGTTTTGTTCCCCTTCCGAACTAGGTGGAACATCACATTAATGTTATTTAGGAATATTTTTGAAACTCACTGCAAATTATTTATTTATATATTAATGGAATATATATATATATATAGTGAAAAAGGTGTTTTTAAAGTTTTAAAAAAATTAAACATTATTAATTAAACATTAAAAATTCAAAAAATAAAGAGTATTTTTTATTTTGAAAGTTGAGAGGGTATTTTTTTAAAAAAATAATAATAATTAATTTTTTTTTTTAATTTAAATGTATTATTGAAATTTTTACCAATTTAAAAATATTTATGAAAGAAATTATGAACTTTAAATTTTGTAGCACCATTTTAGTACTAGCGTTGCTCTACCTGCCCCACGCGGTAACAATTAATTTCTTATGGATGGGACCCACTTATTAACCATTCAAGACAAAATTGATTTAAGTGAGGTATTAAATTAAACTTTTAATTAAAAATATGATTTTGATCTCCTTTATTTAAAACTGATTTCATTGCACTTTACAATATCCCAATTTAATTCTCATGTTTTTCAATAATTATTTAATTTTTCAAACATAACTTAAAATTTAAATTATCAATATTATTTTTACTAAATTAACTTCAAACTACCAACAAAAATGGTTTTTAATAATAAAAATACTTAAAAAAAAAAAAAAAAACTCTTTAATTACCAACACCGACGAAAATAAATAAATAATTAAAACAATAAATAGGCACCAAACATTTCGTCTCTTTCACACACAATCTCTGTCGTCCCACGTGAATCATGTTTTAACCATTATATTTTCTTCATTAAATAACAATTAAATTTTTATATCTATCATCAAATCATTTATAAATATATAAAAGTAAATTATATGTAACGAACCAGATCACCGCCAGTAGATATTGTTATTTCTTTGTACTTTCTCTTTCAAGCTTCATTCTATTCTTTGGGCTTTCCCTTTCGGACTTCCTTAGACTTTCCCTTTCAGACTTTGTTCTCTTCTTTAGGCTTCCTCTCAAGGCTTTAAAACACGTAAGCGAGAGAAAAGTTTCCATGTCAAATGGTGTTCTCATCCCAACCAAATTGGGACATCACCCCTAAACCCTTATAAATGGTGATTTGTTCTTATCCGAATGAATATGGGACATCACAATCCACCCCACTTCGAGGCCTAGCATCCTTGCTGGCACTCTATCCTTCCTCCAATCGATGTGGGACCGCCTCCAAATCCACCCCTTTGAGGACCAGCATCCTTACCCCTCCAAATCCACCCCCTTTGGGGGCCAGCATTCTTATTGGCACATGGTAATTTGATTTCCTCCCCAACCAATGTAGGACATCACAATCCACCCCTATGAGACCTAGCGTCCTTACTGGCACACCGCCTCGTGTCTACCCCCCTTCGTCCACCCCCTTTGGGGGCCAGCATTCTTACTGGCACATGGTAATTTCATTTCCTCCCCAACCAACGTAGGACATCACAATCCACCCCTTTTGAGGCCTAACGTCCTTACTGGCACACCGCCTCGTGTCTACCCCCCCCTTCGTCCACCCCCTTTGAGGCCTAGCGTCCTGTCTGGCACTCTTTCCTTCCTTCCTCCAATCGATATGGAACCGCCAAATCCACCCCTTTGGGGGCCAGCGTCTTACTGGCACATGGTGATTTGTTTTCATCCTCAACCATCACAATCCACCCCCTTTGAGGCCTAGCGTCCTGGCTGACACTCTTTCCTTCCTCCAATCGATGTGAGACCGCCCTCAAATCCACCCCCTTTGAGGCCTAGTGTCCTGGCTGACACTCTTTCCTTCCTCCAATCGATGTGGGACCACCCCCAAATCCGCCTCCAAATCCACCCCCTTTGAGGCCTAACGTCCTGGCTACCACTCTTTCCTTCCTCCAATCGATGTGAGACCACCCCCAAATCCACCCCGAGGCCCAACGTTCTTACTGGCACACCGTTTCGTGTCTACCCCCCTTCGAAGACAACAAGAAGGCTGACACATTGTCCGGTGTCTGGCTCTGATACCATTTGTAACGACCCAGATTCACCGCTAGCAGATATTATCCTCTTTGGACTTTTTCCCTTTCGGGCTTCCCCTCAAAACTTTAAAACACGTGTGCTAGGGGAAGGTTTCCACACCCTTATAAATGGTGATTTGTTCTCCTTCCCAACCAATGTAGACATCACATTATATTAATAATGTTATCGTACCATAATATAAATTGCAAATACTAAATAATTATTAAATAAAAAAATTATTAAGAGATTTTAGGGCATAAATTTCTATGGAAATGTTTCCTTAAAAAAGAGAGAAGATAGTCAAAAAATTAGGGTTAAATAATGCACAGTAATTATTGAATTCAATTATCAAAGTGGTTGAATAAAAGTAACTTTAATTCTTCAACTCTTATCCTTTGGAAGGCTGTTGCTTGTGTCATTCCATTTGTTTAATCTTTTCACTGCTTCCTCTACCTGCAATCCCAATTACTCTTAAATTTTCACTTAAAAATTAAATAAAATTAAATTTAAAACTCGAGCGAAAAAATAAGCTTTTAATTTAGAGATCAAATGAAAATTATACGACCAAAAAAATATTTTTGTGAGATTACACATTGGTTGAAAAGTAAAACGAAACACTCTTGATGAAAATGTAAAAACTTCTCTCTAGTAAATGCGTTTTAAAAACTTTGAGGGAAAGTCTTGGAATGAAAAGTCTAAAAATGACAATATCGGCTAGCGATGGACTTAAACTATTACAAATAGTATTAGAGCCCGTCACTGAAAAGTGTGATGCACTGGTTAATCGGAGTAGCGCTAGACCGTCTCTCCATAATAGACGTCTTTTAAAAACCGTGAAGATCGTAACGGGCTGCTAATGGTATAAGAGAAAATATGCATAGAAAAATAATGTTACCTCTTTATTCCAATCAGCTCGAAGGGTCACCCATACTAAAATGCACGTTTGCATCGCGGTGCCACTAAGCATCCCTAGCCATATGCCCTACACATGAGACAAAAAGACAATTTATTTTATTTTTATTTAACGTTTTCTTTTTCTCCACCCCTCATAAAAATAATTTGGAAGGTAATTTTTTAAAATATATTAAAATTAAATTACAAATGTTATTTTTAAAATTTTAATAAATTATTCCAACCACTCAAACCAACGGTGCATGTCCTATTTAATAAATGTGATCTTCAATGAAAAAGTTTAATTAAGATGAATCTAAAAATGTCCGGTTAGACGAACACGACTCTCCACAATGATATGATATTGTTCACTTTGAGCATAAGCTCTTATGGTTTTGCTTTGGGCTTCCCAAAAGGCCTCATACCAATGGAGTTAGTATTCCTCAACCCCCATGATCATTCCCTAAATTAGCCGATATAGGACTTTCATCATCCAACACTTCCCCTCGAACAAAGCATGCCTCCCCTTAATCGAGGCTCGACTCCTTTAGAGTCTTAGTCATTTTTTACTACCTTCGTACCTTCGAGGAGGCTTGACTCTTTTTTTCTTTTTGGAGTCCTTTGTTCGACATTCGAGAATTTGTCAATCTATTGGCACGGCTAACTTTAGGGCATGGCTCTGATACCATGTTAGACGAACACGACTCTCACAATGGTATGATATTGTCCAGTTTGAGCATAAGCTCTCATGACTTTGCTTTGGGCTTCCCAAAAGGCCTCATACTAGTATTCCTCACTTATAAACCTCCCATGATCATTCCCTAAATTAGCCGATGTGGGACTTTCATCATCCAACATGTCCAATTGGACTCGACTTAACTTGACCCAACCCAACACACGAACAACCGTACCTTAGCTCCAAGTTGAAAGTGGAAACCGAGGAGAACACCGAAGGGCAAGCCAACAAAGTAATAGCAGCCCACATTGACCAAAGCAACAAAAGATTGCCACCCACATCCCACAGCCACGCCTGCATTTCTTTTATTAACACCATAAAGATAATAATAATTATAATAATAATAATACCAGATAAAACAGGCTGGATTCCGTTGAGGAGGAGAGTGACGGCCAGTAAAGGGCAGAGGTCAGAAACGGCGGCGGCGACGGTGGCGCCGTCGGTGAAGAGATAGCTAATGACGTTGCGGAATGAAAGGACGGCGGAGGCGACGAGTATAGAAATGAGGGAGGAAATGGCTACCACCACCACCACTGAAAAGGCTGCGGATTTGGGATGCCCATGGCCTAGTTCATTGCCCACTCTCACGCTGCCAAAAACAAACCGTACAAAAAAAATTAAATATTGTATTTATTTGCTTTAATATTCAAATTCAATTTTTTTTAGTTTTCAAATTTTAGGTTGAATTTTAAAAATATTATTAGAAAGTAGATATACAAAATAATAAAAAAATTATTGAGAAAATATTTAAATATATTTTTTAATAAAAAATAAACACAATTTAAAAATAATAATAATAATAAATGGTCATCAAACTCGATCTTAAAATTTTATTTGTACGGTTGAAGCTAGCGGTATTTAAAACAAAAAATCAAATTTAATTTCTTAAATTATATCTTATTTTACAAGAATAATTTGCATTATATTAGGGTTTAATTTCTTAATATTATTTTTGTTTTCTAAAAAAAGCTTAATTATAAATTAATAAGTTTTGATATTTAAAAAATAAATAAATAAATAAAAGAGAAAGAAACATAACCTAGCAGCTGCATTGAAGCCAACAGAAATCATGAATGCCAATCCATTAATGGTCATACTGCAAATAAATAAATAAAACTCCAAATTCAGAATTATCCCTTTTTTTTTTTAATATAATTTTAAATTTAAATATTAATGTCAAATTAGGTAAGGGAACACGAAAAATGAGACGGTTGCGTTTGACGACTTGAAAAAAGAAATGAGAATTTATGTTTATAAAGGCTTGGAAAAATCTTCCTGTTTTAAAACGTAAGGAAGTTTAGAATGTAAAGCTGAAAGAGGACAACATGTGGTAGCAGTGTGCTTGAATTGTTACAAATCATATCAGAGCCAGACACCGGAGAATGTACCAACTTGGAGGTTAAGCCCCAAAAGGTTGGACACAAGGCAATTTGCTAACAAAGACGTTGGGCTCCGTTTGGCCCAAAAAATGAGACGTTTGTGTCCCTTTTGGCAACTTGTAAAAATAATGAAAATTTATGTTTTAAAACCGGGCAATGTGCCAACTTAGAGGCTAAGCCCTGAAAGAGGTAGACACAAGGTTGTTTGCCAGCAAGGACGCTGGTCCCAAAAGGGAGTGGATTGGGAGGTTTCACATCAATTGGAGAAGGGAACGAGTGTCAGCGAGAATGCTGGGTCTCGAAGGGGTAGATTATGAGATCCCACATTATGGGAGAAAAAAACGAAATATTGTTTATAGGTGTGTGGAAAACCTCCAATGAAACGTGTTTTAAAACCTTGAATCGAAGTCCAAAATGTAAAGCCTTATGTGGATTTGTATTATTAAACTTAAATACAAAATCGACCTCATCTGTTGGCGGTGAATTTAGACTATTATAGCCATAAATGCAAAATCGAATTAATTTAGTCTCGAAATTTCAAATATTTTTAAATGTTTTTAAAAAATTCACGAACCAAACCTGAACGATGAATGAAAGACGAAAGGAAATGAAAAGATTAGTACCAGATGGAGAGGGAATCGAGAGCCAACTCAGGATTATCAAGCAACCCAGCAACCAAAACCAGAATCTGAAAATACCAAGTTTCCAAGCACAGCATAATCGCCGACGCAGCCGACAATTTAAAGAACTCCGGCAGCCCCTTAAACGCCGCCCAACTCAACCCTCTCCAACTCTCCTTAAACCTCTCACTCTTCACAATATACACAAACTGCGCCGTCACAATGATCCACCACGACAGGCTGAGCACCGACGACGCCCCAAACAACCCAAACCCCAGCTTATACGCCGCCGCCCAACTCAGCATCAAATGCACCGCTAGCGTCGCCGCCGATATGTAGGCGCTGGGAAGCACCACGCTCTGGGACTGAAGAAACTTCTGGATAGGGAAGTTAATGGCGTAGGCGAAGATTTGAGGGATCAGGCCGTACACGAAAACGGCCGCCGACGAAGCAATTTCCGGCGACTCGCCGAGGAGCAGCAAGAGGGGTTTGGAGAAGACGTAGAGAAGAGTTAAGAGACAGGCGACTAAAGTGAGCAAAATTGACGATCTTTGTAAGTAAATTCCTAACATTTCGTATTTTCCGGCGCCGTAAGCTTGGCCGCACAGCGTCTCCACGGCGCTCCCCATTCCCAACTGTTACATCAAATTATCATATAACAAATTCAAAATTAATATTTCAAATCATCATATAAACTTTTAAATTTACATTCAATAATTCGTTTAAGTTTTTTTTAATTTTTCATTATTGTTTAAAATTCACGAAATTAATAGGCCTATTTGACAAAAAAAAAAAAAAAAAAAAAAAAAAAAAAAAAAAANCTTTAATTTTGTATATACTATCAAATAATTTTTTTTTAATATGTAATAAATATTAAAAATTCTAATAAAAAAATCTTTAAATTCATTAGATAAGTTCAGATTTAATATTAAGTATAAAATTGAAATATAAAAAAAATAATATCTAATAAATCAAATACAGAACAAAATTGAACTTTTTAAAAATATTTTTAAAATTTTAAAATTTAAAATTTAGGAGCATAAAGTTTAGAAGCATAGTTAAAGTTTTTTTTTTTTTTTTTTGAAAGAATTAATATATACTAGATAAGATAACTTTTAATAAATTCAACAAAATTTGAAAATTTTTAAACATTTTAAATATTTTAAAGTTTAGAAGTAGGAAATTGAAGTTTAAAAGAAATTAATATATAATATACCATCGACATATTTTTGGCATAAAATTAAAAATTTTAAAAGCATATTAATTACAAAATTAAAATTTGAAATTATAAAAAAAAATAATAGATTTAAAATCGATTAAGAATGTTTTGCATAATTTCAAACTAAATAAATTTGAAATTCTATTAAAAAAAATTGAAATTTAATGTTTTATTAATTGGAAATAAAAGGGTATTAAGTGAAATTAAAAACATACCAAGAGACCATAAGCAAAAGTTTGAACGCCGCTGTTGCCGAGAGAAGCGGCGGCGAGTTCCGCGTTGCCGAGGTGGCCGGAGAAGATGCGGGTGGACATAGACATGAGGTTGTTGATCATGTACACGAACACCGCCGGCGCCGCCAGATAACCCAACAGCTTCAGCTCCATCCAAGCCGCCAGCCGGATTCGAGCCACGGAAGGCAATTCTGTGTCCGATAATATCTTCTCCAGCTCGCCGCTTGGCCCATGCTTCTTCGCCGCCGGCTGCTGCACCAATGGCTCCTCAATATCTCTATCCTCATACCCATATTCCATCTTCTCTCTCTCTCCCCCTCTCTCTTAGCCCTTTAATTTATAAGTCTTTTTATGACATCATTAATATTTTTATTTGCATGTAACTTTTTAAATAACATACACAAGGATAAGATTAGAAGACAACCGGATGGGACACGTTGCTTTAGGCTTCCCCAAAAGGCCTCATTCCAATGGAGAGTGTATTTTTAGATTATAAACTCATGATCATTCCCTAAATTAACCAATGTGGGACACTTTCATCCAACAATGTTAACCTTTCTATCCAAAATTCACCCACATATAAACATACACGTTTTAAAATCGTGAAGCTGATGATCATACGTAACAGGCTAAAGTGAACAATATGTATTACTAGTGAGCATTAAGCTATTGTAAATGATATCATAGTCAAACACTAGGCAATGTGCCATTGATGACGGTTGAAGGGAATGAAGTATTCCTAATAAGAGTATAGAAACTTTTCCATAACAAATGCATTTTGAAACTGTGAGATTGATGATGATATGTAACGGACTAAAATGAAGAATATCGGCTAGCGGTCGGCTAATATTACAATTATAATATAAATAAATGAAGTCATGTTATTTCTCTAATATGAGTTTTTTTTTTTTTTTTTCTCGATTTAATCATATTATGACCACTTCTTCAAATATATATATTTTTCGAAAAATACAAACTTTCAATAATATTAAGAAATTATAAACAAAAATATCTTTTTTTGTGGATGTGAGTTAACATTTCTTTTATCTTTTTAATTTTTAATAGAAATATTGTTTACTTTTTTACATCACTTGGTTAGTTGGTATTTTAAATAAAAAAAAAAATAAGAGGGGGTTTCGTTGTATTTAATAATTAAACGAGCACAAATCCCTATTTATTGGTGTCCAAGCGAGTATAAATTCTTCAATTAATTAAATTTATATTATTCTTGTTCAATATAAGGATCCTAATGCTAGAGTACAAATAGAAGGGAGCAAAAATGAAGTGGGCATGCCGTCCTTTGGAACCAAAAGGGTAACTTTTCAGCTCAATAATTGAGTACTAAATTACTCATCAAATTTGTCACATCACGTGATGCACATTCACCACTACACAAAAATAAAATCTATAAGTAATTTGCATCCCACCAAATTTTGGGGAAGATTTATCCAATTCCTTTCTTTTGCACCCCTCGGAAATCACGAACAAGGGCATATTTGTTTAACGCTAGATTTGGACCGTTACATGATCTATCTTATTCAAGAGCATCCAATTCTCAAATTGTGGTACTTAATCAAGTCTGGTGGCAGGTATATGCACCCAATTCACGGTAGTGTATCAAAAGAGCACCCAATTTTCTCGTTCTATGCATCCAATTCTCTAATCATGTTCACCGAATCAAAAGCACCCAATTCTCAAACTGGGCTCTTCACGATTCCTTTCAAAGATTTATTTTCCTCCACTTCTAAACTTTAAATCAATAAATAATATCAATCTTTCAAACTCAGAGGAGATTTAGATCGATAAATAATATCATTCTTTCAATCTCTAGGCAATTTGGTAGTCATCAAATTATGTTTAACCTTCATTTTTATTATCAACCCTACCAATGTGGATCCAACCATCCATCTCGATTTCTGCAGCGTAGTTAACCCACTCAATAATTAAAAGAGTGGAAACTGGCAGGTGAAAGTATTTGTTACTATTGGAATAAATACAACAACCTCAACAGTTCTTGACAGGCAAACATGCTTGCATCGCTCTCTATTCAAAAAAAAATTGAGTCCCACCAGGGTTTTTCTTTTCCCTTATTGATGAAAATGGGGAATAAAAAAACAGGGCGAGTTCACGACAAAGCCCCCCTGCTGCTTAATCAGAGACTCCTGAAGTTACTCATTGCTTAATGAGATTCCGAATAACGTATGGAAGGATTCCTCCGTTATTGAAATAGGCAAGCTCCACCTGCAGAGGAATCGAAATCAGAGGAAAATTTGACGCTGTGGATTATGATATGTGAAAATTCAAATCCGATGATATGAGGGGGAGGAAAACAAAAAGGAATTACCTCAGTGTCGAAGCGAACAGTGCAAGTGAAAGATTTTCCAGAATCAGTGGTGACAGTCACGTCTTGGCCAGGCCTTATCTTACTGATGTCGTCCGGGAGGTCAATTGTGTAACGCTCGTGTCCAGTCAATCCGAGTGAGTCAGCATCCTCACCAGACTTGAAACAAAGTGGGATGATACCCATTCCCACCAAATTACTACGATGAATTCTCTCAAAGCTTTTGGCAATAACTGCTTTAACCCCCTGATGCCAATAAATACAGAAGATGCTTAGTCCAGGTTCGATTAAAAAAAAAAAAACTCTGAAGAATCAAACGTTCATGGGTTTCAAACACTCACCAACAACATTGGACCCTTGGCCGCCCAATCTCGAGAACTTCCGCTTCCATACTCTGCCCCAGCCAGCACAATGGTGTCTTGACCAGCTGACTTGTATTTCTAAAACATAAAATAGATTGCAAGAACTGAGTCATTATTTTTAAAATATATATATACAAAAAATTCATGAAATAATTATTAGATTTCGACATCATTTAATATCACAATATAAGCAAAATGCCTCTAATTTTTACATGGAATGTTCCAAAACAACTAGTCCTTTACTTCGTTAGATAATGAAATTAACACTTGAAAAGAAAAGGTATGGTATGAAGAAAGATCAAAATGACGCAACTTCTCACAGGAGATGACCAATTTTCAACAACGTTTCTTCCAAAATTAATGTCCAACCACTCTTTTACAAGTGTGGTTGTTTAATTATTAGAGATGGGTTTCTTTACTTCACAAAAATAGAAGAACAAAGATAGGAAGAAAGGTTTGGATCCCACTTGGAAGCAGCTTCAAGGATCCGACCGACATCTAGTTTTCACACATTTCTTCACTAATTTATATTAGGTTTGGATCCCACTTGGGGAAAAGCATGCATATAAACTACTTCCTTTTATAAAACAGTATGCATATAAGAGAACTAAAATACTCACCTCTGCTGCTTCAAAGACAGAAAGTTTCTCTCCAGTGGGAACATGAACCGTCTTCGGGCCCACTTCACCATCTAAAAGCTTGTTCACAAGACGGATATTGGCAAATGTACCCCTTGCCATCACCTCATCATTACCACGCCTACTTCCATAAGAATTGAAATCCTTGCGATCCACTCCACGCTCAAGAAGGTATTTTGCTGCAGGGCTGTCCTTGTGGATGCTTCCTGCAGGGGAAATGTGATCCGTAGTGATACTGTCTCCAAAATTTAATAGGCAGTAAGCATCCTTAACACCATGTGCTCCTGGAGGGTCCATGGTCATATTCTTGAAGTAGGGAGGTTCATGAATATAGGTGGAATTGGGGTCCCATGAGTACAGGGTGCCAGAAGGAACTGAAAGTTGGTTCCACATTGGGTTTCCTTTTGTAATAGATTCATAAGTGCTTTTGAACATGTCAGGCAATACACTGGATTGAACAACCTAATATAAATTTCAAACACGTTAAATCTATTATTCCTTTTAAAATGTATACAACTTACTTCATCGAAAAAACTACCTACCTCAGCTATTTCTTCTGTCGACGGCCAGATATCCCTGAAATAGACATCCTTTCCATCCTTCCCTTTTCCAATTGGCTCCTTATCAAAGTCAATATCAACCTGGAAAACATTTTTTTACACCAGTTAACTCAACAGATTTATACCCACTGTTAGAGGGTGACAGACCTTAAAAAATAAAAAGCGCTTATATTCTTCTTAATAAATAAATAAATAAGAAGTAGATTTGCTACATTTAGGGTTGAAAATTTCCGTCAAACATCTCCCAAACCAGGCAAAGGGAGATGATAAAACACCATCGATTTGAAACTGATTAAAACAGTAGTAGCATGTTTTGATTAGAAAACGATCTACAATTGTTAGATTACAAAATAAAGAAGCAAAAGAGGGTCTCGTGACTCACGAAATCCCTATTCAAATTTTAAGAAATTCCTCTACTTCCTATCTGTAAACCAGCAAAGAGCTCTACAAACAATGCACTAAATATAAAAGCAAAAGAGGGTCTCGTGAAAGAAGGATAGAGTTGCCAAAACAGCCCTGTACTAAATAACTGCAAGACCATAAAACGTTCAATAACAAATGTGAAACTTTCTAATGGAAAGTGAAAGAAGTACATATCAGAAAGCCGGCTATTAAATGTACCATTGAGCCATGCTGACTGCTGAAGTTAAAACACTGAGTAAAAAGGACGCTTTCCTATATTTCAACCAAAATCCCCAACCTTAAACTAACTACAAAAGACGAGTTTAAAACTACGAACAGGTTAGGGCAAGAAAGTATCGATTATTTTCCATACCACTACCTCTCTGAAATCCACCTTAAAACTTAATTTGACTAAAGGAACCAAAACAGTACGTATACATTTTATCCTTCCACAGCCCAAAATTAACCCAAAGAAAAAATAAATATATAACAGCCAGTGCATACCGTGCCAGCTAAGGCATAAGCCACCACCAAAGGAGGTGAAGCAAGGTAGTTTGCTCTGGTCAGTGGATGAACACGACCCTCAAAATTCCGGTTCCCAGAGAGTACAGCAGCTGCAACAATATCTGCATTACAAAGTACTTACGAAATTAGAATTATCAAGGTGAAAAAGAAACAGTAAACTTGCTCAATCGTATTTAACAAGTAAAGTGAGCCCATTTTGTAAAGCAATCACATTCCCTATTTACAAGATCTTATCAGCTCATCTTATTCGAAAATTACCGTTGTCAGATATAGCAGCAGATACTGATTCATCCAAATCCCCAGAATTCCCAATACAGGTTGTACAACCATAGCCAACTATATGGAAGCCCTGCTGATTTAAATAAGGCTGCAGTCCACTGCATCAGTCAAATGTAGAATTATTATTTTTTCATGTTTTTAAGTAACAAAAACAAGGTAATTTATTTAGATAAGACAACCAATGAATTCATCCTTGTTAAATAAAAGAAGCTAAAAGATCATTCGGTAGTATTCCCCCATTCCTCTTTTTTATTTTTTTAAAAATGTTTTATCGTTGATATCTGAGAAGGATAGTACCTACATTTTCAAAATGGATTCTTTTTTTCTTATTACCAATTATTTAAAACATCAATACAAGTGATCTTCTTAATCATTCTTCTGTAAATATACTAAAAAACTGAAATGACAATAATTTGAATGTTCTCTTTAAGTAAACTTTTATTTTTTTAATTTAAAAGTTTAGAGAACATTTTTATTTTACGAAGTTAAGAACAAGAAACAATTATTTTTCTTTTCTTTAGAAATAGAATAAGATGGGAACGAGAAATAAGAAATAAGAAATAAGAATGTTACTAGACTAGACAGTTGTGATATATAACAATTACGTATGATAATTAATTACCTCTTCAGTAAGTATTTTGTCACAACTCCAGAGCCTGGAGCAAGACTTGTTTTCACCCATGGCTTGACCTGGTGCAACGTTAAGAAGGCATGATTAACATGCTAAGACAATACTTCCACCCCTCAAACAAGGCCAAAACGGATAAAAGCGAGACTAAAATGAGAAAAGCTAAAATCTCAATGCTTGAAGAAATCATAAAACATAGGAAAAGGAAGGAATACAAAAGGGGTCTCTTAAATGAATTGAACGCCCTTGCCCATAAGTACCTGTAAACCAAGTTCACAAGCCTTTTTTGCTACGAGAGCAGCCCCTAACATAACGCTGGGGTTTGATGTGTTGGTACAACTTGTTATGGCTGCAATAACAACACTACCATGTTTTAGCTCAGCTGGTTGTCCATGAAATGAAAACTTTGCCACGTTTTCCTGTGCTTCTTTTGGTATAGCAAATCCCTAGAATCAAAACAAGAATAGAAAACAATTATAAAATTAACATAAATTATGCTGACTTGAGCCAGTTTCAAAAAAAATTATAAAAAATATATTAGCCAGACAATATGTGATGGAAGTAACACACATACCTTAAATCCAACTTTGTTATCAAGGCAAGCATGCCAATCAGACTTCATTTCTTTCAAAGGCACACGATCATGGGGTCTGTAATGTTACAGATGCAACATAAGAGATTATAAGACTAAACGAAAGATTATGATATAAAACATTAAAACCCAAATCAAGTAACCTAAAAATGAAGAGCAATGAAGATTATTAACAAAGCAGCAAAGAGCCCCATACCTTTTTGGTCCTGAAATGCATGGCTCTACATCCGTAAGGTCCAATTGCAGGTAAGATGAGTACACTTTTTCTTGTTGAGGCTGAACACCAAACATGACCAAACATAAGAAAACTTCTATTGCTACATCTAAGAATCAGATGAACAGCAGGTTGACACTCATAACATAAATAAGAAATGTAATATGCAAAACTTTACCTCTTTATAGTCAACAAACATTTTATTTGCCCGGAGGTAAGCTTCAATCATCGACACCTACAGTTGGCAAACAAACAAATTATACAGGTTCACTTCTTCTATACAACGTACTTATCAATGAACTATGATAACACCCACAGTTTCATCACTTCTTCCAGTTAACTTGAGATATTGCAAGGTAACATGATCCACAGGGAAGAAGCCCATAGTTGCACCATACTCAGGAGACATATTTGCAATAGTGGCTCGGTCAGCTAATGACAGCTCCTCCATGCCATCCCCTACAATCACACTCATACAAAAAGTAAAACCATCCGCTGAAAAGTAAAATTGTATAAAAAATAGCTTATTGATAAGTTACAGATTGTAATTACCATAGAACTCAACAAATTTGCCAACTACACCGTGCTTCCTCAGCATTTGTGTCACAGTCAAAACCAAGTCAGTAGCAGTGACCCCATTGCGTAATTTTCCAGATAACTTGAACCCAACAACACCAGGCAATACCATGCTCATTGGCTATCAAGAACGAAATTGAAACATCAAACTCTGAATGGCATAGAACTTAACACAAAGCAATAACAATAGCACAGTATAATGTGCACTGAATCTATAAAAGTAAATAAATGAAAACAAAAGGCCAGAACTCAATTACCTGTCCAAGCATTGCCGCCTCTGCCTCAATACCTCCAACACCCCAACCAGCAACCCCTAAACCATCAATCATTGTTGTGTGCGAATCAGTTCCAACGACACTATCCGGGTACAGCAGACCACTAGTGTTGAAAACCACTCTTCCAAGGTATTCCAAATTAACCTGAAATATTAAAATGTTAAATTTAAGATTCAATGCTAGTATCACTTTTCCTTATTTTCATTTCATTTAAACCAAAAAAAAAAAAGTTAAATTAACATAGACCTGCTAGCAGAAACAGAACAATTTCTCGAATGTAAAATTTCAGATTTCTAGCTGACTTCAAATATTAGTTACCTGATGCACAATACCAGATCCAGGAGGAACAACAAGCATATTCTGGAATGCATTAGACCCCCATTTTAGGAAAGCAAATCTTTCCTTGTTCCTTTGGAATTCAAGTTCCATATTGGCCTGAACTGCATTTTCTGACCTTGCTACATCAACTTGAACTGAATGATCAATAACGAGGTCCACGGGAACCTACATAGTAGATGCTAATTCAAGTTAGAAATTTATGGAAAGAAATGCAATGTCATAAATTTGTTGGTCAAGGGTATGTACATTCTACATTAACCTGCACGACAGATGTTAACTGGAAAAAAAGATATGATAACTTGAAAAGAAGATAATGCACCTACAGCATATATTCACTTTGAACAGTCGAGAGAAATCAATGCATTATAATAATTGAATATCGCCATGTAACATTTCAGCATATTGCTCACATCTTGGCAATCAAAATAAGATGTGAAGCCGTTGGTCTTAGTAGTGAATTTAAATAACACATTCACACCAACACGTGCAGAGTACATTTAAAGAAGTAACTACGTACCAGGGGATTTATTTTATTGGAATCACTACCAAGTTTGTTCATGGCATCACGCATACAAGCAAGATCAACAACCGCTGGTACCCCAGTAAAATCCTGGGATCGTGGAAATGTTAGGAAGGAGAAAATTTGAAAACAACAAAAAGAACAAGACCATGCATGAAAATCTCAGAGCCTGTAAAACAGTACCTGCAAAAGGACACGAGCAGGTTTGAAAGGAATTTCAACTTGCTTAGGGGAGCTATTTTCCCAATCAATAATTTTCTCGACATCTTCCTTTTTCACTTGGAAATTGTCACAGTTCCGAATTGCAGATTCAAGCAATATTCTGATGGAGTAAGGCAGTCTATCTGTGAGGCAGAAACGTAAAATAACATTGAGAATTCACATAAAGCAAAACAAGACACAAGAATCTTTTAAAGAAAGTAAGCCATGGGCCCAGTACCCTAAAAACTAGAGACACTAGCAGCACAGCTAAACGTATCAACACCTAAAAACAACTGTAGAAATTTAATAAATAAGATTCCTCCATTAGTAGTAAGTTTGAAAAAGTTACCAATTCTCGGATCATTCAGAGACGGTAGGCTGTAATACTTCCCAAATTCTCCACCTCCAGGCTTTGGTAGGCTCGTTAAATTTTCCTTGAAAGGATTTTCGGCAGCTGAAACCATAACAATACTTAATCAGAACAAGAAATACAATTAAGTCTTCAAGTCACGTCATCAAATTCCGTTACCACAACATGTTTATCCCTAAGAAACAACACAAATTAAGAGCGAACCAGACAAAAAGGTAAAATAAAAGAAAGCAACAAACAATCATAATGATAACAAATAATATTCGAACACATAAAGTTATAACACAGCAACCATATCCAGAACAAATCGCATCATACAAACACACGAGGAAAATGAATAAACAAGGTAAAATTCCGCCGCCATACCCATGGAAGAAAATTTTCGGTGGAGACGCTCAATCGCAGGAGCAGTAGCTCTGATCTGAGCACGAAGACTGAGAGGAGAACGCCAGTGTACGCCGTGACTCCAGCGAGGGACCGATCGAAAAGCAGATGAACCACTTAGAGATCTGTAAGTAGTATTAGCAAAAGAAGGCGGAGAGAGCTTCGTAGAAGAAGCGGGGAAGGATCTGGAACAAAAAGACGGCGTGAATAGCCTCGCTCTCGAAACTCTGAGTAGCGCAGATGCTGAGGCCGAAGCCATGATTATATACGAATGGCGATCAGGATCACGATAAGACCAGAATTATAGGATAAGGATTGAGGAAATGGAAAGCGTTATGGGAAGAACAAAGTGATGGCTCTGCAGTCGTCGTCGTCGTCGCCGTCGTGGTTCTCAGCGAGAGGGAAAGGCGTGTGGAAATGGAATGAGACTTAGGGCTGCGTGCCAGTTTGCGCCTTGGAACTGATCTGGCGGGCAGAGTTAAGAGCCCACAAGAACGCTGGAGAAATACTCCTCTACGGTCAGGTGCACTGTTCCTCATCAGCCTAAATTTCAAATTGGCCCTTCGGTTTGATGACGGGACCTTCAAAAGGACCATTTTGACCTTTCTTTAGAAAATATTAATTAAAAGTCTTAAATTTTTGTTTTTACTATCAAACTTTAAGTTCCATCACATATTACATTAAATTTATAAAAATAAACGTATAGTATATAATATTGTGCATTTATTTATGAAAGGTCAAATTAGACTTTTTGATTTTGGATGGTGAGGTGGCGGAGTATGAGTGGCGGTACAGAATAAGAAAAATGGGCGGGGGCACAGGGAATAAATTGAGTTTAAGGGTAGGCCAAGTTGGGGAAGTTTCGGAGGGCTGAGTCAATCGGCAAAATTTGGAATATTTTTGTTCTCCCCATAATCTGTAAGATTTGGGAACGTGGAAATTCCTAATGAAGCCACGTATTTTCCCAATTTACTTTTTATATTTAATAATTACCTTCTTTTTAAATCTTTATTAAATTAAATAATTAGGAGATTATTGTCATCAATCAATCAATTTCACTATTACTATATTTAACATTTTCTTTTTAATATCTAAAAATAATGCATTGTCTTTATTCAAATATATAAATACTTGTCCTTTTCTTTTTAAAAATCACATGATTTGTTTTACAAAATTAATAAAAATATTTTTGCATTTTGCATTTTATTTAAAAAATATTTTAAACTTAAATCTAACAAAATACCTTTAAATTAAAAAATGTTAGAAAATGTTTTTCTGTTTTCTTTTAATGGAAATAGTTAATATTGTATTTTAAAAATACTCTTTTTATTTAAAAAAATCAAAATCTATGAAAGGTTGAAAAACGGTGAAGGGCAAAGGGTATTAACATTATTTTTAAAATTTCACGAGCATTTTTTAAACAAAGGACTAATGACAATTTTTTTTTTTTTAATGTTTCATCAAAATTGGAAGGTATTAATGAAAGTTCGTAAAATCAAAACACAGTTACTTTTTTATAAAAATATTAGGGTTTCTATTAAAAATACTGGTAAAAATAATTTTTTATTATTTTAAATTTTAAAGGCATTTAAAAGTTTTAAAGGTATCATTTTAAGATAAATTACGGAATATTAGACATATTTTTGGTATTAATAATCGGTTATATTTACTTCTGATTTCATCAATATTCTTAAAAGTTACAGTTTTTTTTTATTGATAGTTATAATCAACTTTTAAAAAAGAGACGGCGTCGTTTTGAACAAAGAATATTGTTCAATACCTTGTGGGATTTTAAAATTGTTTTCCAAAAAAAGGAAAATAACAAATAAAAGAGTGATATATATATATATATATATATATATATATATATTTGATAGAAGCATTATTCTGTACGTAATCATTTGGAGGCCAGGGTGGCCGCCGTTGCGATGATATTATATTTATTTATTATTATTAAAAATAAAATAAATAAAATTTATTTGAACGGTCGTTTTCATCGGGTAGGGTTTTCAATTTGGTTTTCTCTTGTCAAACCTCGTGGGCCTGGGCCTGCATTCTTTGCTGTTTTTCCTTTTCAAATAATGAAAGTCAATATATATATATATATATCTAAAGCCTTTTTTCTTTTTTCTTTTTTTTTTCTTTTAGAAAGAAAAAATCATCCCTAACAAAAACTCGACCAACTCAATCTAACTCATACGGCTCAAATCAAGTTATAAATTTTATTTTTATTCGATTAAATTCAAATAAATAAAATTCATTCATGAATTTTCTTTAAAATAATCTAAATTTATTATTAATTTTAAAATATAATATAATTTTTTCCATTTTCTTTATTAATTGGAGTTTGTAAACTTTTATTAAATATTTGAAAACAAGTGTTACAACTATCCTTTTTTATTAAAAAACTAAAATTTGAATAAAGTGTCCGAACAATATGAATCAAGACATATATACAAAAGCGGGATTCGCTATTTAATAAACGTAGTTTCAGTTGAACGTCTTATAACTCAAACACTTATATTAGTTTTAAAATGAAAATGACAAGTTTTATTATGATGTGCCACATTAATTGGAAAGGAGAACAAATCACCCTTTACTAGGACGTAGAAACCTTCCCCTGGCATACGCGTTTTAAGGCCTCGTGTAAGGGAAAGTCCAAATAGGACATAAAGGAAGCCCGTAAGGGAAAGCCTAGATAGAACAAAGTCTTGAGGGGGGAAAGCTCAAATAAAACAATATCTGGTAGCGGTAGGCTTAAGTCGTTTCATTTATTTTTTATTTATTTATTATATATATATATATTCAAATGAGTCATGACGTGGAATGCCTTAGCCATTATTATTATTATTATTAAATTAAGTAAACGTGCGTTGAGTATGAATTTTAAGAATAAAAAACTACATTTTTTTAAATTTAAAATACTAAATTTGGTTAGGATTTAAAAACATTTTAAGAAAATATTTTTATTTTAAGTTTTTATTTTAAATTTTTTTTTTTTTTATGTCAATATCCTATAAAGACTTCCACTGCTCCAAAATAGAGCGTCATCAAATCAAGATGATGTGTTCGGTACAAGATGAGTGTAGCAATTGCACTTTTGTGAGAGTGGGACAACGATTGTGCGACACTTGTTCTAATTCGGGGAACAAGTCAGCTATGTGAAATTTGGACTTCGTAGACAATATCGACTTATGCTTGAATATTAGGTCAGGTTTGAGATAACTATTTTGGAAAACGTGAGTGAGGAAATACGTTGAAATCCATTTTAAAGATACCAATGTTATAAGCTGAAAGCGAATAGACGACAACAACGACTTTTGTAGTATATCACTTGGGTATGAATTACTGACGACTAGTCACATCCTCCTATTGTACAGTTTAGGAAAATTTAGTCTTAGCAGGTGTATACATGATTTTAATGACTGGTCACACGCCACCGTATTGACCACAATAAGAACTAATAAATACATATCTAAGATGAAAACATGTAAAAGAGGTTTGGAATGAGCATGCGGCCATGGACAACACATCCTGTATAAACATGACCGGGACATTCGACATGCGCCTACCATGCATGGTATTTAATCTTTTGAAATGTAACTAACTACCATTCATTTTTCAATTTAATTATCATGCAAATTATTTACCACTAAAAACTTATATTATTTTTTTAAATTCATATATTTGAGAATAATATTAATATTAATTGTTAATAAACTAAAAAATCTAAAAAATCTAAAGCATATTATTCAAAATATAATTATTTTACTAATTTGATTTAATAAAAAGTAAATTAATCAATATAATAAAATTATATTATTTAACGAAATTACGTACTCTCTTGATTTTTTTTTTTTTTTTTCTCCCTTCCACATTATTTTCCCTCCACCACTTTTCCCGCCTGTCCCCGCTCAATCCTCCTCCTCCCGCCCACCCCCACACTCCATAAATCCCCAAACCCCAATCTCCAATTTCCCTCATCCCAATCCCCGTCTTCCCTTCCAATTCCCGGCAACATGAATCGGAGATCTAGAGCGTTTCCCCGATCGTCCAAATCTCACTCCGAGACGTTCCATAAGTATCTAAAGCCCGGTGCTCTAGCGCAAATTCGTAATTCCCGGATGATCGCTCGATTCAATCGCGTCAATTTGGTATCTCAGATCTACTCCACTCGTTCCTCATCGCTTTCTCCGCCGACTGCGCCGATCGACTCCGCTTTGCTTCAGGTGAACATTGTTGATGCTTCTCCTTGTTTTGCTGGGCGGGTGTACGGTCCACTCTGCTTGCAGAGGAAGAAACTTTTGGCTGCTAAGTCGTTGTGGTTTCTTAGTTCTAGTCTGACGAATTTGACTCCTGATTCTCCGCCTGATCCGGTTATTGAAGTGTTAGGGGGGTGAATATTGTTGATGTCTCGACGAATGGAATAGTTTTGAACCTTGTGAATCGATGTTTTCGTTGTGAATTTCATATCAATGTGTAATACATGACCTTTTGTAGGTGGTACTTGATGAGTTCTGTGAAAAATTTTCTTGATATTAACGGAATTGATATAATAAGATCTCTCATATTCTCGATCTATTGTGCTCGAGACTTCAAGTAGGGCCTTTTCTGCTTAATTTTTGGTCAATATATTTGGGATTCTATTGAACTACTCTAATCTAGGTCTCATTTTGGACCTTAAGGCTTGGGGATTTTGTTGAACTTCTGACCAAACTTCACATTGACTTCAAACTGAACTCAACTCTAGTCTACGACTGAACTCAACTCCAGCAAATTTCTCCAATAATGCGGGTCTGTTTTCTCTTGTTTACTTGGTTTGCTCATCAGCTGCCTTCTAACTAATTTGCTTTTTATTGGCATGTGGATCATGGGTTTTTTGCTATGGATATATTGACGTTAGAAACTGCATCAAGACATTTATTACATTTATCCTGAGTTTGTAGTCTGCAAAGTTTGAGATAAACAAATTACCATATCCAAATGCATGACTTTCTAACTTCAAATCAAGTCTGAGTTTAATGTTCTTTAATGGTATGGCTTGTACTGTGGTTGCCAAATATCAATATGATGCAACTGATCCTTTCATCCGATCACAAATAGGAAAGATCCTGATTCAACTGTGTATTGTTATTTGGAGAGTTGCATTTTCCATTGTTTAATTACCATACCATATCGGCAGTGTATGCATCGGATGTTCAGTTCTCATAATCAGTATTAAGTGGGATTTTGATTATTTCTATCTTGACTCATCTGTCTTGTTCATATTTCCATTTCCGAACGCTCCATTATTTAAGGGTGTTAGCTAGTTAGACCACTATTTGTTTTTACAGAGAATCTTAATTGCATCTTCCTGCAACATAAAGTTTCATCCCTCAGTGTCCTTTTATGGCAGTAGCTAATCATCATCTATGATGTTAATTCCTCTCTTGCTTTAATTGCCTTGCTTATATTTCCATTTTGCAAGGTTCCTTTGTATAACAGTTTAGCTAGTTTGGACACACTTTGTTTTTAAGAATAACTTTCATTGCATCTTCTTGCAACATGATTGTTTCATCCTTTCATGGTAGTAGCTAATCATCAGCATAGTTGATGAGTCCTCTCCTACTTTAATTGCCTTGCATATATTTCCATTTCTTAATGCTCCTTGTTTAGCAATGTTAGCTAGTTAGGCCACGATTTGCTTTGTGCAACATAAAGTTTCATCCTTCTATATCCTTTTATGGCAATAGCTAATCATCAAGTACATGGATAGTTCTTCTCCTGCTTTAATTGTCTTGCATATATTTCCATTTCATAACGCTCTTTTGTTTAACAATGTTAGTTAGTTAGATGAAGATTTGTTTTTAGGGATCATTTTCATTTCATTTCTGAATATCCTTTTTTGTCGGTTCTAAATCTTAAACTATGTTGATAATTCGTCTCTTGCTTTATTTGCCTTGCATTTATTTTCATTTCTTTATGCCACTTCGTTTAATAACGTCCGATTTGTTTTTACGGATAATTTTCATTGCATTTTCCTGCAACATAAAGTTTCTTCTCCTAATATCCTTTTATGAGAGTAGCTAATCATCAACTACATCAATAATTCCTCTCCTGCTTTAATTGCCTTGCATATATTTCCATATATTAACTAATACGAAATAACTAAGGGGTCTTAATCGTTCTATGACAAGATCCATACTGTGATGTAGATTTAAGAAGGGTTTATTGTATTTTTTTTTTAAGTTTTAGAGAACCGTCTTTAAGATAATAAGTTAGACTTAGTTTAGTGGCCATTGTGGTATCGTTGACCATGAAAGTTATAACCTTTCAATTAACCAATAGGTTATTATAAAGTTTATTTTTAAGGCTATAAATAGTCATTCATGTTATTGTTTTAGTAGGAAGGTTTTGGATATGAATATTAAAAATGAAGTTTACATATTATGATTCTTAATTCATGGGCTTGTTCTTTTGCATTTCTTGTGTTTAGATTTGCATGTTAGAGTCATTTAAGTAGTCTCGTGGAGTGATTTGAATAACGAGTTTAAAAACAAGTTTTCTTCACTCTTAATCTTGTTCATCAAAATAATTCGTTCCAAAACTTTTCCTTGGGTTGATTCTTTATCGTTTTTGGGTTCTTGGATAATTTCGATCTAGAGATCTCGTTCTCAATAAGGTTTTTAGATCAAATTCCAAGAGTTTCATATCATTAACGCTCGTTTGTATAACAATGTTAGCTAGTTAGACCACAATTTTTTTTTGAGGGGCATCATTTTCATTGCATCTTCTGCTACATAAGGTTTCATCCCTCAATTACCTTTTTTATCAGTAGCTAATCGTTTACTATGTTGATAATTCTTCTCATGCTTTAATTGCTTGCATATATTTCCATTTTCAGTGCTCCTTTGTTTAACAATGATAGCTAGTCAAGCCATGATTTGTTATTATAAACCACTTTGATTGCATCCTCCTGCAACATGAAGTTTCATCTCCCAATAACCTTCCATGGCAGAAACTAATCGTCAAGAATGTTGATAATTCCTTTGCTACTGCAGTTGCCTTCAGTATATTTCCATTTCTTAATGCTCCTTTGTTTGATAAAATTGGCTACTTAGGCCGTGATTTGTTCTTAAGGTTCATTTTTTCTTCCTGCAACATAAAGTTTCATCTTATAATCTGCTTGATCTCTTAACTTCTCATGAACAGAACAGTTGTTGAGGACTTGAGCTGCGAAGTTACAAGTGATAGCTCTCAAATCATGAGTAAGAACCCATTTTTAACTTACATAAATGATTTTTTAAGTTGCTAATAATTAGTATTTTATAGTGTTGATTGCATTTATTTATTTTAAGTCAACATTTCCTTTTCTTTATGATATTTGAAATTATATTTGTTTTCAATTTTGGGTTAATAAGTTTTGACATATTTAATTTTTTTATAATAAATTTATCGATCTTTTAGACATAAAATTGAATTTTGGACCATAAATTTTAAAAAACATGGAATAAGTACAATTAAAAGTTGAAATATAGGTAAAACATTTTAAAGTTTAAGGATCAAATAGACATAAATTTAAAAGTTTAGAGACTTATTAGATATTTTTTGTAATGTAAATATCAATACATTTCTTTTTATTTGATGTAAAAGTGATAAAGCACACGTAATGCAATAATAAATATACATACTAAATGACTTATTTTTGCCTGATATCTATTTTGTTTTTTTTTTTTTAAGTTAAGTAGAGTATTTTTGTTTTGTTATATTTTATAAATGTTTTTAAAATTTAAGCTAAGATTTAAAAAATTATATATAGTTTTAAAACATTTATTTTTGGTTTGTGAGATTTTGCTAAAAAATTAATATTTTGAAAGATAAAAATTATTATAAGAAATAATGAGGAAAAAAGTAAATTTTTTTGAATCTCTATGGAAAGAATAATTGAACGACTTGTCGTCAAGGTGCAGATAAGACAATAAGAGAAAGTCACCTCGACAGGAGCAGCACGTCGAAAAGGTATGCGACGGACCTCCATACGACGCCGTTTTAGGACGACGTAAACATCCTGTCCGGAGTCTAAACCGTTGCCGCCGCATTAGAAATCAAAGCTCCAAATCAGAGAAACACAGGCGAAAAAAAAAAAGAAAAAAGAAAAAACGAGAACGGAGCCATTGATTCTAATGGAGCTTCAACGCAAGGCCAAAATCGCTTTAGTTGTAGCGTCTTTTGCAGCGCTAACAATCTACTTTACGGCCAGACGGCGCCGGAAGCAAAGGAGCGTTCGTAGTTCGTGTTATTTGCGAGATGATCAGAAGCCTCAGTACGCATTTAAACGCGTCCTGGCTGACAATTCTTATTCTGCGTTCAAGCATTTGAAACTCGATATGAATACAGGTGAAGTCAGTCCGTTACTCTATTTCAAATATGATATCGTGTTTAGCTGCTGAGACTATGAGTCATGTTATTAGAAGCAAATGGAGAGTTTAATGAATGAACGATACGATAAGGAGCTATGATTTAGTTTTTTATTGGATTTAGCAACCTTAATCTAAGTTGTTAATTGCATTTAGAAATGTTTGTTTGGGAAATGATGATTTATGTGTTTTTAAGCTGAATAATTTCCATGGAGCAATAGGATGTAGGGAATGAAAATCTGGAAGATTCTTTTTATTGTTTCTTTAATTTAATAGTTGGCGAAAAGTGGTCATAAGTATTTGAAATTTACTCTTGTTAGGATTATTAGCAACAATTCTTTCATGAATGGCTTTCATTTGTCTTCTCGTCAATCTTCAAGCTCCATTTCTCGTAAAAGATTTTGCAATGGTAGCTCTCAATGTTCTTACAAGGGGGTTGGCTGAGTGAAGTGAGTTTTTTTTTTTTTTTTTTTTTTTTTTTAGA